AGTGACCTATGTTTGTATTTTCCCTATCAATCTATCAATCTATCAATCTATTTGTGTGTCTTACCTGTATTCTCCCAAATGCCAAGGTCTGCTGCTTCTTCGTCCGTCTGTACATCGTACGCACGTATGCACGAACACAAGCAATATGCCTTTTTTTCTCAAAAGAAAAAATAGGCATTTAAAGGGTTCTGGTTTTGTTTTGGAAAAAAAAAAAAAAAGTCCTTTTCTTTTTTCACGATGCTAACTTAGTCAGAATTAGTGACGATGGTTATTTCCAGCGATATTTATTCCAACGCCTCTGTTGCCCTTCGCAATGACTGCTCCAGTGCCCTGTAGATCAGCCCATCTGGCTCTAGTTCGTTAGTTCGTGTATTTCTCCCAAAGTCCCCACCTCCAGCAAAGCGTAGTTACTGTAGTCTCTCAGCCAAAACAGCTCTAGTCTTTTCTTTCGTTCTTTTTTTTTTTTTTTTTTTTTTTTTTTCCAAAGAAACTCTGCTCGTTCTTTTCTTCTCAAGGAAACATCAGAAGTGCAAGGCTTTTCTGTTTTTTCGGCAGTGGCTATAACGGTGCTCTCATGTCTCTCGAGGCCTTTTCTTTCTGTCTTTTTTTTTTCTTTTTTTTTTTCGAGAAATCTGGAGGCTTTTTCGTTTTTCGGCAGTGGCTATAACGGTGCTCTCACGCCTCTCTAGGCCTTTTAGTTTTTCGGCAGACGAAAATTTCTATCCAGTGGATCAAAAGTCTCTTCAGGAGCATTCTAGGAAAATTTATTGCAGAAGGTGACTACGTTTTTCTGAGATGCACTTGAATTCACTGCAGGAATTAGTCTTAAGACCAATTTGCGGTCCTTCAGGACATCCGTTAAAATTGGAACGACACAGAGAAAGAAGATTAATTAGCATGGCCCCTGCGCAAGGATGACACGCATAAATCGAGAAATGGTCCAAAAAAAAAAAAAATTAAAAAAAAAGGAACAATTTGCGCCGTTCGGCACCAATTGGAGGAAATAAAAAGCGAGCGATAGAAGCACTGGCACTGATATCCCTCGTTTTGTTCGGCTTCAATGAAAATGACAGTAGATAAAAATGCTAAATTTATCTGATACTAATGGATACAAGTCTGTCGATGTACGTACACATTTATGTATGCATGTATGTACGTATGTATGTATGTATGTATGTATGTATGTATGTATGTATGTATGGGCCTCGCCGAAACGAAAAAGTACGAGTGCATCTTCCGCAGAAAATGGCAAGATGCATTGATTACTAGTTCATAGTAACGGACGCATCTTGGCACTCTTGGCGGGAATAT